CGGACGGTTACATTTGTTTACAGTGAAGTTCATTACAACATTCCAATGACGTCACAGCGTGTGCAGTCTGTCTCAGCCCTAGGGCGGAGACAGATAAATCTAGCACTGGCAAAACGGGAGATAAATCTGTCAGGTGTGGGAGAAAAATAGGTGTTATGGAATGTTACTATACATTCAATTGGAACTCAGTGAAGAAACTGTTACAAAAGGTGTCCGTGGCCGTCCCTGTGGGGACAGGGGGTTAGAAACTGGGTTGTTGTGGTGTTCGATGGCGAACACATTTAAAAAGGTTTGAGCAGTGTGATAGATTTTAGGGAATTTCCCTTTAGCTCAGGGGTAGAGCGGCCGACTAAGAAGTCGGGGGTCACAGCTAGGTTTGATCCACTGCTCTGTTTCCTGTTACATTAACTCATCGACCCCTGGAGACACATTTGAGCTCTTCCAATTCAAAGGTTGGAATGGTTCATTATAAAATATCAGGGGTGAATGAGTTAATAACAAAGTAAAGGTTTAGTATAAAGTCTTTTATACCTGTAAGATCTGACAATATCAGTAGTTGTTAATGTAAACAATTACGTTTGAACCAGAAATCAAACCGATTCTGTCAGCCTCGTCTTTATATCTGTGTGACCTAGTCTGTGATCAGCATGATCATCGGCAACATTTTGTATTTATGTCTCTGATTTGTCATTAATTCATGGAGGTACCATTTATTGAGTTTTGCATTAGGGCCTTATATCAATGGTTTACACTACCTGACAGATTTATTAGTGAAAAATAAGTTGTTAGATTCAGAATAACCATTTATGGTTAATATATCATGGTAACCTTGATTAACAAGGTGCTAGGTGACAGAAGGATCATCTCTATAGCAATGAACAGGGTGTGGAGCTCAGGTGTTAGGAGGTAGAAGGGGCATCTCTATGGCAAAGAAAAGGGGGTGGAGCTCAGGTGTTAGGAGACAGTAGGGTCATCTCTATAGCAAAGAAAAGGGTGTGGAGCTCATGTGTTAGGAGACAGAAGGGTAATCTCTATAGCAATGAACAGGGTGTGGTGCTCAGGTGTTAGGATAGAGAAGGGTCATCTCTATGGCAATGAACAGGGTGTTGAGCTCAGGTGTTAGGAGACAGAAGGGTTTTCTCTATAGCAATGAACAGGGTGTGGAGCTCAGGAGTTAGGAGACAGAAGGGTCTTCTCTATGGCAAAGAAAAGGGTGTGGAACTCAGGTGTTAGGAGACAGTAGGGTCATCTCTATAGCAAAGAACAGGGTGTGGAGCTCAGGTGTTAGGAGGTAGAAGGGTTATCTCTATGGCAAAGAACAGGGTGTTGAACTCAGGTGTTAGGAGATAGAAGCGTCATCTCTATGGCAAAGAACAGGGTGTTGAACTCAGGTGTTAGGAGACAGTAGGGTCATCTCTATAGCAAAGAAAAGGGTGTGGAGCTCAGGGGTTAGGAGACAGAAGGGTCAACTCTATGGCAAAGAAAAGGGTGTGGAGCTCATGTGTTAGGAGACAGAAGGGTCTTCTCTATGGCAAAGAAAAGGGTGGGGAGCTCATGTGTTAGGAGACAGAAGGGTCTTCTCTATGGCAATGAACAGGGTGTTGAGCTCAGGTGTTAGGAGATAGAAGGGGCATCTCTATGGCAAAGAACAGGGTGTTGAACTCAGGTGTTAGGAGATAGAAGGGGCATCTCTATGGCAAAGAACAGGGTGTGGAGCTCAGGTATTAGGAGATAGAAGGGTCATCTCTATAGCAAAGAACAGGGTGTGGAGCTCAGGAGTTAGGAGACAGAAGGGTCAACTCTATGGCAAAGAAAAGGGTGGGGAGCTCAGGTGTTAGGAGAGAGAGAAGGGACATCTCTATAGCAATGAACAGGGTGTGGAGCTCAGGAGTTAGGAGACAGAAGGGTCAACTCTATGGCAAAGAAAAGGGTGTGGAGCTCAGGTGTTAGGAGAGAGAGAAGGGTCATCTCTATAGCAATGAACAGGGTGTGGTGCTCAGGTGTTAGGAGAGAGAAGGGTCATCTCTATGGCAAAGAACAGGGTGAGGAGCTCAGGTGTTAGGAGATAGAAGGGTCATCTCTATGGCAATGAACAGGGGGTGGAGCTCAGGTATTAGGAGATTGAAGGGTCATCTCTATGGCAAAGAACAGGGTGAGGAGCTCAGGTGTTAGGAGATAGAAGGGTCATCTCTATGGCAATGAACAGGGTGTGGAGCTCAGGGATTAGGAGATAGAAGGGTCATCTCTATGGCAAAGAACAGGGTGTGGAGCTCATGTGTTAGGTGACAGAAGGGTCATCTCTATAGCAATGAACAGGGTGTGGAGCTCACTAAAGCTCACACAGTTGCATGCATGTCCTGATATACCCTGTGTGCCTCAGTGGAATTAGTTCTGTAGGTCAGGGTGGTGTGGAGCCTGCCCTGACACCAATAATGAATACACTCTGCTAGCAATAATATAGAATGAAGAAAGCTAACCATCAATGTTCTCCAGGCTTGTGCTGGCGGGTCCCCAACCACTACCATCTCGCCATATTTGATTAAGATTATCAATACAGTTATATAATGAAGTTTTGATTATTAATGTAGGCTGGGTTTGATGTCGGAATCAATAAGGTTAGAGAGGGTTGTGTGTGCTGGACTGAACAGTTCACTGATTTACCGGCTAGATCCTACGTTAGTTTCACGTTACGGTTTCTCAGTCAGTTTTTATGGTTTGCGTGTATGATAGTTTTACATCACTCATAGATATTCTGCTATCAATTTTTCTGTCCAACCTTTTTGACTTTTTTCTCCGTGATGTGATGCTGAAACAAGGACACTCATTCCTCCCGAGAGTTCAAAGAACATAACATAAATTTCCTCTGATTCCAAGATGAAATATATCTGCTAGATGATATTATTGGCAATTTCCAAACCTTTTTATGAGCGGAAATGTATCAGTTTAAATTGGAGCACTGAAGAAATTGATATTTTGAATGGTGCCAATTGACATATTGTAAGATGCATAGCTTTGTATACCTATACTGTCATACACAGACTGGGCTATACTGTAGATAATTTTTTCTCAAGATTGTTGTTTTCAGAACTCAATCCTTGTAGACAGACAGTTTTTACAGAATCCTATGATACAAGACTAGAGTCAAAATTCTTTATTGTAAGAATAAATTATTAACATTGAATTAGATGTTAAACTCACCATAATGGGGTTACAATGATATGAAAGTGTTAACTTATCTATTTAATCATAAGACAAAGCCATTTTACTTTTACTTCATTGGTACAGATAATGCTTAGATGAAGATAATGATTCAGAAGTAACACCATACAATAATATTGCAGTTTTAGAAATAACTTTATTTAGATAATACAAGTTTAAGTTAATATTTTAGATACATATTTAGAAACAGAAACTACACAATAATAGCAGCGATTTATAATGGTCTTGTCAAGGTATAAATGATATTTACATCTTTTTAAAAGTGCTGTAGAGGTCAGATTCTTGTGAAAACAAGTAGATTTAGAATAGGGTGCATGATTACACACACTGATAATTTAAAATTAAATTTCACTTATGCATAACTCTTTTAACTTTATTTTTTGTGTGTGCCCAAAACCATAGTGAAATATTACTTGAGTTCTTTCAATGCAATGCATGTACCAGACTTCATTTATCCATTGGCATAGTGTTGTAATGGTTGTTCCTGGTTGTAAGGAAGTAAACAGCTAGATCCAGGTGATTCCCACGCACCGTACTGTGTTAAATGTATGATAAACACAACAGTTTGTACCCTTTACTGATCAGGGAAGCAAAACAGTCATGCTATTAGTGCTGTACTATAAATCTACAGGATGTGGACCGAAACTCTCAGAACGACTCCACGCTTGGGCTCCAATATTGTCTTTTGCACTCTTAAAGCAATAAAACTAATTACTGCAATAAAAGCTACAGAACATTGTATGTGTAATTACTGATGTTGAGTTAGTTGCGCGCTTGATTGCACATCATTCTGAGTGCTCTGTGACATGCTGTTAGACCAGGTCATGGCGCCACGACAACCATCCTCCATCTTGGTTATAGCTGCTCAACAAGTGCTCATCTGTCATCTGTGGGGGGGTTGATGCTATGATTTACTTTAGCGTGATCTAATATTGTAGCGGTATGATTAAAGTCGCGGTAGTGAGTGAGTGACAGAGCCCGTCTCAGGACTACCATTGAGGATTTCATCAAAGCCGTAATTATATTGGTGATGATGAATTGTGTGGCTGTGAACATACACGTAGAAGAAATTGTCTTGTAGGCTTGTTCTGATATTTGTACGAAATTGTCTTTGATGAAAAACATGTCAGTGTAAATTGAATCGGGCCGTGAACTGGCCGGGTTATCTGATGGTGACTTTAATTTTAATACGCAGACCTGCTGAGTATATTCTTGGTTACATTTCACCGAATTTAAAATATCAATCGTGAAAACTTCCAGTGTTGTGTGTGATCTCCAAACTATTAGCATAATGGTCTACATTAGGGGAAAACGGAGGTTCTCTCATGATCTCCGATGATCTCACTGTGTTTGTAGGATTCTGTTTCCGTTATTCCTTTGTCGTCTGTAATTGGTTGGATACTCAAACTGTAAAATATCAGCCTCACTCATCTCTAAAGCAGTAATTGTTGACAAATAACAGTAACACCCAGCTCATCAGATTGAGATTAAAATTCAAATTGAATTCTAAGGTTTAGCTGATATTATTAAATTCACACAAGCATATGCACTTTTCTTTGATAGGTTTGTTCATTCTAGTTTAGGAATCGTGATGAATTTAACAAATTTTATCTTTGAACAGAGTTAAAAGCGTTTCTACATTATGCAATTACTTTTGTGGATAATCAGCAAATTTCACTTTTCATCAAAGTACAGTTCGGTTCTCTTTTTAGTTCTATTTAAACATCAAAAATAATTTGTCACCGGTAGTGTTATCATTATATGAAACTTTTTTTGGACAGGAAGTGCTCTGAGAAATCCCCGAGGAAATCTAAAAAGTAAGTTTATATTCTGCTTTGATTACACATCATGTTTCATAATGCTTCATTGAGGACATTTCCTCGGTATTAACGTGTCTCGGTGAGTAGTTTATTGGCGTTTGTCTGGGAAGTCATTAAAACTTGGATTAGTTATGTATTTCTGCACATAATGGCTTGATGCACCCACATAAACACAATCCCAGAGATATTATATTCACAGTGACAATAAAAATAATAATAATAATTTGAGGTTCTTATATACATGTACCGCTTTATCATGACCTAGCTAGTTCGTAGGTTGACTCAAAGTGGTTCACAATATGAAGGACACATTTTTTTCATAGCATGAGGTCAACATTTATTCACAGTATTACGGAAACACTTTTCACAATATGAAGGAAACTCTTTTTCACAGCATGAGGGAAACACTTTTTCTTAGTAGGAGGGAAACACTTATTCACAATATGAAGGAAACATTTTTGTTCATGGTATGAGGGAAACGTTTATTCACAGTATGAGGGAAACATTTTTTACAAGATGATGGACATGCTTTTTCATAGTTTGAAGGAAACAAAACAATATGAGGGAAACATTTATTCACAGCATGAGGGAAACATTTATTCACAGTATGAGGGAATCAGTTTTTCCACAGTATAAGTAGCTAACAGTGAGTACTAACATGCTCATCCCTGCTAACTGTAGCTCTCAATCTTTGCCATGTACACACAATAAAGTACAATGTTATCAAACTGTTATATCTTTTCATGTTCAAAGCTAATCAATATAGCAATTCTTTACTGGAAAACAAAAATCTGTTTTATAATTATTAGTTTCTAACCAAGTGCCTCTTGGGTAATTCAATTTTATGTCACATGCGACAGTTATAGAATGATTAAATATTTTGTTTGCATTTTCAGAAAAAGTAAAATGTTCTGCTGCCAGGGTAATTTTAAAATGTTACATCAATTGGTTAAGTGGTTTTGATAGCAACTATGATGTGTGTATTATCAGCTAGCCAATAAAGTAATGATGATACCGGAGAAATATCAATGTAATTCGTTTACAGTAGCCTGGGGATCCAGCTTGGTAATTTAACACAACATATTGTTTGCAGTGTATTGTCTGCTGTGTAAGAATATAAAGTGACTATTTATCTGCGAGTGCAGCAGTAGTGTGGTAGGAAGGCTTCAGAGTCTGTATCCCAGTTATGCATGCTGTAAGGTGCATGGACTGTGACGTGTGCAGCACTGCACGCCATTGTCTCAAAAACCATAATGAATGATAAAACGTGACGGGCTAAATTTGTCCTGTTTCCTTTGATGTGATAGGTTGTCATTGACTGAAGCGGTCACTACTGATACATCATGTATAGGCCTCTATTGTAAAGGGGTAAATATAGAGACAGTCGCTGTACGCACACATTATAATCACATCTCCATTTTTAATTAATCGATGGATGGGTCAGCTGAGTACATGGACAAATTAAAATGTCTGATGGGAAAAATCTGTATAAGAAGAGAAAATAAAGAGTTCTTTTCTAATATGAGTAGTTTGGTCGAGGACATATGCTGAGTTATTTTGCATTGTGTTAGCTTAAAAAATGTAATAAATAAAATTTAACGGTTTTCCTGTTAAATACCTTTTATATTTCAATCTTATGACAGAATTTACTGATATTTTCACTGGTGCTTTGTACTCATGAAAAAAAATTATATTCTGCTGTACTCGTGAAATATATATGGTATTCAATCAGAAACCATTAAATATTCTCTGAATATAAATACAGTATATAGTTAACAATCTAAAGGAAATGTGAAAAATAAAAACAAATCTTTTCAAATAAATTCCCTATCAACCAGTGAAAATAGGTTTTTATTGAAAAAGATGTCTGATCTTAATACTTCACATAACTACCCACTCCACAATTCGAGTATAAAACACAAACCAAACGCAAAAAACAGGGACTAGTCACACAATTAAGTAATTACATTGATTGATCTGGGATTGGAGACATGTTTACATGAGGAACACAAGGAAGAGTGCGGTCGGAAATTTAATTAAAACTAAAGCCGGGCCTATATAGACATAAACCTTGCCTTCGGCAGGACAGGAGTACGATCTTCATTGTCACATCATCAAGGTTAGTTTACAGTCATTAATAAATAATATTATTGCAACTTTTGTAAACAACAAAATGTAGGATAATTTTGAATCAAATTGCTTCAGATAAAAATTTGGAGCTTAATTTTACTTTTGAAATCTTATATCAGTGCCAAACATAGGATTCATTAATGTGTTAAGCTTAAGCTTTCTAAAATCTTACATTAAATTGTTCTATGAATTAAATTTCAATTTATTTCAAGGAAATTTGGATACTAAATTATTCCACTAATCCAACAAGTTGTGGAAGAAAAAGAATTCTATGAATATAGATAAATTGCAAGTATTCTACTACATGTATTTGAATGTGAATAGAGAAAATTACTGAAGTCTGGTGGCAATGGGTCCCGTAATTCCTGTCAGAGAGGATTACCCGCGCAGGGCCTTCGCTTGGGGATCAATAACTTGGTATTATAAAGGGGAGATAATCCAGCCATGCACTCTTAGTTACTAGTCTTCATGAAATATACATGCACAAATGAAGAAGCTCTCTAACGAGTAGTCCCTAGTTTGTGCTTTAGGGTAGTATAAAGACATTATCACCAGTGACAAAATGGAAAGGTCAGCGTCACTAAGGTCTTGTGAGTGTTATGTCTATGGCCATGTATGGGAGTGACATAGCCACGGCCATATTAGCTGTAGACTGTTTCAGTCAACTTAATGATCCATTGATGATTGAGTGATTTATGACGGATAACTGGCTGCTGACACATTCCAGCAATTTGAATTCTGCAAGGCTCTTGTTGGTCTTCATGACCTGGCAAATTGTTTAGCGACTATGATGGGATGGACCCCAAGAGTCTGTGTTTGAAATCAAGCATTCTGGCGATTTACTGGTATACAATAAGGAAACGTATCCTGGGCCAGATCAGGAGATGTAAATAAAATATAATATTCTCAGTGTTTTTCTGGACAATCTATAGATAAATTTCTCTAAATGATCTTTCCTAACAAAGACAATGTCGTAGACAACTAGAAAACTACCCCTAACAGAATCGATAGCTGCTGGTAAACATCCACCGTCTACAAATTATTGGGTAGCCAGAAGCTTAAGGCTTGAGTTTATAGATACACACACTACCAGAAAATCTTGACTTGATTTTTTTTAGATATCATTATTGATTCTTGTACATAGAAATTGAATCAACCACATTTTTAATGCTTCTTTAAAAAATAGCACTGAGATTTTTCAAATTTCTTAAACCAACAAATTTGTTGCAGTGTTATGGTATAATCTGCTATGGTAGTAAGGCTAATATATGCTGAAGTTAAAAGATCTGATACAAAAAAAGTCCTGTGTGGTGTGTGCTACTGTGTGATCACAGTGGTTTTCGATGAGACAATAACAGCTATGGACACAGCGAAAAAACATCAATTCCTGCAATTATAAAAAGACAAGATGTCTGTGATCATCTGCAGAGACCTAGCTTCCAGATAGTTGTTGTAAATTTGGACCTTGGAGACCCTAACCTTCCCTTCCCAAAAAATACAATCCCTTGCTTGGTGTTTCTGTCCGAATGCTTGCACACTGCACCCAGTATGGCACTCCCAAAGAAATACTTCACTGGCAAAACCTGCATTTAAGGCCAGCTGGAGCCTGTCTGATTGGCTGATCTGGGAGCCAATTACTGCTGATCAGGAGGCTTCGGCTTGTCACCACCCTGATAATACAGAGGGATTCTACGAAGGTGAGATTCATGCCTGTCAAAACCAGTGTTTTGTTTGATTTCATCTTTATTACCCAGGAAAAATCTAATTCCAGGTTTACTCTCCAAGGAAATAAAGTATAAAATGAAGCTTTCTTTCCGCACTTTTGCCTTCAGTGATGGGTTCTTCCTGACTTCAGTGACATTGGATTCTGATGGTGTCTCTCTTGGTAGATGCGACAAACCAACACCCATCCTCAAATTACATAATTGGTGTCAGTGCCGCCACTTACGGTGGAACAAGCAAGAGGTGGTCGATAATTGGGAATAAACGCCAACAGTTGATACAAAAATTGGCTGCCATTTGAATTCCAGCACATAACAAACTAAAATTGCTAATCATTCTTGACTATACTTAGGCATTCCAGATGAACACCTTTCCTTATCAGAATTCAGAGTTTTAAGTCAATTTCTGTATTAAAGTGCATTGAAATACCTTACTCAATCAGACTGACGATCGAGAGTTAGTCATAAGTAGGTCACTTAGCTACTCCTTATCGGAACTTACACAGTGTTTCTGGGATAAGAAGAAAACATGTCCATCAATCATAATATAATAAATATAATAAAATGAGCACCTTTAAAACACATTTTTCAGGCAAATTGTGAAATGTGGCATTTCTTGAGCAGACAATAATGCCATAGAAGACACTTACAATTTCTGACAGACGACTTTCATATTCAATTTTTGTATGTTATTATAATAACTTTAAGAGTTCAGGGCAATTTTTTACTACCAAAATGTCAGAAATTTATTGTCAAATATAGTCATGATACCATGTTGGAATTTTACTTCATGGCTTCTTCATATCAAAAGACCTGTTGGCATCTCCAAACCGATGTCATCAATAACCATTAACAATCTATGCATGAGTGATTTCCCCTAAATGAGCTCTCCAGTCTACCATTCAGACTTTCCGCATCAGCAGTATGGTAAGCTGATGCAGACAGCGCTGTCCTTTATAGATGAGGAGACATAGGTGGCTGAGGCATGACTCAATAATACCCTACACAGGAAATTAATCGCTAGGTCTTCGTCTGTGTTCCCACTCCTAGTTGTGTTACAACTCCTTATTGGCATCGCGATTGAAATTCTGACTTAAAAGAGGGGGAAAATATCATTACAGCAATAGCCGAATTACCAAACAGCTG